AGCCTTATGAAAAGGTTCAATTAACTCAGTCTTTCTCTATCAATCTCTCTACTGGCTCCGGCTCCATAGCCCCCCCCACCCCCTCCCCCCATCCCCCCCCTGCCACCCACCCGCCACCACTGACCACCCGTCACCACCACCACCCACCGCCCACCTGCCACCACCTGCCATCCGCCACCCACCACCACTACCCACCCGCCACCATCACCCACCCACCCACTACCACCACCTGCCACCTACCCACCACCACCACCTACTCGCCACCACCCACCACCACCCGCCATCCGCCACCCACCTACCACCACCACCTGCCACCGCCACCACCACCACCCACTCGCTATCACCCACCACCCGCCACTGTCACCCACCCACCTGCCACCATCATCCACCACCAGCTATCCACCACCCGCCGTCACCACTTTTCACCACCGTCTTTCGCCGCCACTTGCCACCACTTGCCATTTTTCACTCTTTTTTATATTTTTTAAACCTTTTGTCAGTTACCAAACGCGTTTGTGGTTTATGTTTTTCTAAAAATAAACAAAAACCAGTTTATAAAATTTTTATAAATATAAACTGAAAACGTAAACGTTACCAAACACAAGTACCTATTGGATATTATACACATAATGCTAAGTGCACAATGCATTCTATGGGTTGTTTTGAGAATTAGTAAAAAGTTGGTTTTTGACTTTTTATCAAATTTTTTGGCTTTTTTGGAAATGATTTGGGAAGTTGGTAAAAAGTTGACTTTTTACTTTTTAGTTTAATATTTATTTATGGTGTCAAATCAAATTAAAATGACCAAAATACCCTTACCCAACATAAGAGATTTTTTTTATTTTTTTTTTCATAGGCCCTAATTTGTAATTTTAGGACTGCGTTTTTTGCACTTCTCAAAGGGATTTTGTTGCGTTTTTGACAGCCACGTTTTTGGACATTTTGTCTAAAAACATGGCTTTTTATTATATTCCCAAAATGGCACTATGTACAATATCCATTATGCACCTAGCATTCCTCCTCTATTTTTCTATTCTTTTTATTTTTTTGTAATTCTTTTCGTAAAAAAATTAAAAAAACTTTTAGTCAATTTCCAAACAGTATGTTAAAATTTGTCATTTGAATTATTGTTAATATTGAAAAATATGTAAAATGCGAATCCAGAATTATCATTAACTGATCATACTTAACTGATTCTATGCCACTATGAAAATATAGCTTTAGTTAAAATATAGGGAATTAATGTCCAAACAAAACTAAGTTTTGTTTAGAGGGTTTTATTATTATTATTATTATTACAGGAAAATCTTCCTACTCTCTCGCAGGTCTAGAGCGGCGCTCCTTACAGAGATCATCAATATATTTTGTTGTCCGTATTACAAGAAAATCTTCCTACTCTCTCGCAGGTCTAGAGCAGCGCTCCTTGCAGAGATCATTAAGATATTTTGTTGTTCGTTCCGAATAAGGAGATTATAACTTCCTATTGTCTGTTTCGAGTAAGAAGAGTATAACTTGGAAACTTATCCCGACCTCCCAAGACAAGTTCCGCTTAAATCAATCACCAAAATGTTATGTTGTCCATTCCGAGTAAGAAGACTATAACTTGGGAACTTGCCCCGACCTCCTAAGATAAACTCCGCTTAAATCAGGACTTGCGCAGCGAGAGTGCATTGAGCCCACACCAAGTGTTGTGTTAGCAGCAACTTGAGGCTAACCTCCTAATCAACTGTATTACGCCCAAAAAATTGGCCCAAAGAATTTCGAACTTGAGACTTAAGATCTTAACCCACAAACTTTTACCAAGTTATCAAACACACTTGGATTATCGTTTAGAAGTTTACATTTATGTTTAACACTTTATTTTCTTTTCGTTTAGAGGTTTACGTTTACGTTCAACACTTTCTGTTCTTTTTGGATTAACGTTTATGTTCAAAACCCAAAACTTGTGGCATGTCGGGCATAGAAAAATGGAGAAATTACACCTCAGTGACACCTTTTAAAATTAATTACAGGTTCATGAAAAATTTTAATACTTCAATTATTAAAATTTATTAACTTTGTTGTTGATTTGGAATTTTTTTTCAAATCCACACTGAATTGTTATTCCCCTTAGAAAAATTGAAGGCCAACAGTGATTATAAGACCGAGCACCTTATTTGGGTGTCATCTTTATTTTATGTAGTGTTGTTGGCGAATTTGCATTAGAGATAGCACTAAACTCTATAACATATTACACAAGCTTATAGGATTCTAGAAAATTTTCGATTCAGATTTTTCACTGTTTATTGCCCGAGTATTAAAATCTACTATGCCATTTAAATTACAAGTTAGAATTGCCATGGTTAGAAAATATACAAGCCTGTCGCATTCTTATCTAAAGGAAAACACAACTCCTTTTGCTCTGTTTTACCCAAGTATCCTTGTTAGCTAGACCTTTTATGCTTGTTTTAAAGCAATTTATAGTGAGAGATATTACAGTTTTCAACAACATTATATTTGCAATTTTGAATATAATTATGTTCTTGTCAAAAAAACAAATAAATAAAGTTACAAACTTCTCAATTTCTTCATTTGGTTAGAATTAGAATGTCTTCCCTAGTAATTGCTGGAAAAGAAAATTCTTTTATAATTGAACTGAAGAACCAAGAAATTTCTCTATTTTCAAACCCAAAAAAAAAAAATTCTACTTCGAAGAATTTTTATTAACTGTATTAAAATTGTTAGTTGTGAAATTTTAGCCCTCAATTGAAAATCTCATTGTTTCAAGATAGTGAAATTTCACTCTCACATTGAAAATAATGTAGGTATCCAAGTTTTGCAATTAGCACTTGATTTTACAATTTTTAGCACTCAACTAAAATTTCCAATCTTAAAAATAGCGAAATTTCACTATGTTTACTTTTTTAATATAGTGAGATTTTCCTGTTTGATAACAACGTACACAGTGAAACTTCATCTTTTTTTCTTTTTTCCCTTCAGAATTTCATATTTGTCATTGGTGTTAGATTGAAAGATCTTGACAAGAACATTCCAAAAATATAAATTTTATCCAAAAAAAAAGGAAAGATAAAGATCTAATCAAAGTTATTAAATTTTTATTTTTAAGTTTTGAAATAATTCCAAGGCCAAAAACAAGGTTGAATTTGTGTTGCGTTAGTGTATAAAAATATTTAGGAGAAATTACATGTTAGTGCTGGTCAAACAAAATATTTACAAATTGTGCCTACCGAATTCCGCACTAGATGATTGTGAACCAGAGCTTCGCACCTGATTGGACTATCTAGGAACTGAGATCCTGCAACAATGAGCACCGTTAGAATTGCCCAGCCGGAGTTGGCCAGATAACCCCTCCAGTGTGCGAGTAAGTGATCGGAGAAGATAAAGTGTACTTTCTAAATGTAAAGAGTTGTGTTCAAGTGAGTATAGTTTGGCTCAACTTGGTTACCTTCAATGTGAAGTGAGTGAAGTTTATATAGAACACCTTACTTGTTGCCCAAGATGGTTTCATAAAGCTATGGTACAACTGGG